ACATGGCCAAAGCTACTGCAAGGAGGTCAGGAAATACCGTCCAGCTGGGTGCCCGGGAAAAAGAGATGGGCTTGTTGACCATCTAGCTGTCTTCATCATGGGTTTCATGATAATAGGGCATTTAAGTTTGTCTTGAAGCAACTTGAAGTGTTTTGACAGAGATTGGAAAGGAGGCTTAATGTAGGAAAAAAGAACAGCATAAAGGCAGACTTGGAGGTTGTCATGGATTGCGTTGTGTCCCCCCAAAATAGGTGCTGGATTCCTAACCCCTATACCTGTGGAGGAGCCCTGGTGGTGTAGTGGTTAAGAGCTTGGCTGCTAACCAAAAGGTTGGCAGTTCAAATCCACCAGCCACTCCTTGGAAACCCTATGGGGAAGTTCTACTCCGTCCTGTAGGGTCGCTATGGGTTGGAATCGGCTTGACGGCAATGGGTTTGGTTTGGTTTTATACCTGTGGATGTCACTCTGTTTGGGAACAGAGTTTTCATTGTTATGTTAATGAGCCCATGTCAGTGTAGTGCGTGTCTTAAACCTAAAGACTTCTGCGATATAAAAACAATAGATTAGCCAGAGAGAGAAGTAAGTGCAGTAGGGGAAAGAGAGATGCCACGTGTTAATCTCCAAGGAACCAGGGAACAAGGAACGCTGGACCAGAGAAGCTGAGACAAAGATCTTCCCCCAGAGCCAAGAGAGAGAGCCTTCCCCTAGAGCTAGTGCCCTGAATTCCAACTTCTAGCCTGCTGAACTGGGAGAAAATAAATGTCTGTTCTTTAAAACCACCCACATATGGTCTTTGTGACAGCAGCAGGAAGAAACAAAGACAGAGGTACAGCAGCAACAAAATGCAAAGGTATGTTTGGAAAATAGCAAACAGTCCAGTTTGTTAGGAGCATAGAAGATGTAGGGAGTAGTGTGGGAGACACTTTGGAAAGGTAGGTGGGGCTACTTCCAACCTGAAGCCATGTTGTCTTAGTCATCTAGTGCTGCTCTAACAGAAATACTACAGGCGGGTGGCTTTTACAAAGAGAAGTTTATTCTCTCATAGTCCAGTAGACTACAAGTCCAAATTTAGGGCATCAGCTCCAGAAGTCTTTCTCTCTCTGTCGGCTCTGGAGGAAGGTCCTTGTGATACATCAGTCTTTCCTTGGTCTGGGAGCATCTCAGCTCAGGAACCTCGGGTCCAAAGGATGCACTCTGCTCCCACCACTTCTTTCTTGGTGGTGTGAGGTTCCCATGTGTCCCTGCTCGCTTCTCTCTTTTATATCTCAAAAGAGATTGGATTAAGACACTAATCTTGTAAACCTCATCAGTATAACCTTATCATAGTGACAGAGTTTACAGCACATTAGGAAATCACATCAGATTACACAGTCATACAATACTGGGAATCATGACCTAGCCAGGTTGACAGACATTTTGGGGGGCACAATTCAATCCATGACACGTGTTTTTTGGGGCTTTAAGATCTAGACTGAGGAGCTCACTCATACTTGCAGGAAAAGTGAGGCCCGGGTTGGGTTTCTTTCTTTTTCTTCAGGCTCCAGTCTTTCCTATCAAAGTGGGTTCTTGTGTTTGTCATTGGCGGCGCTAGTCAGGGGGAGAGAAGGGTGCAGACCTCACTTGAGCAGCTTCATCTTGAGCGTTTGCACCCGAGGATTTCAGAGACTCCTGCCAAAGGCCAGTCCAGAGCATGGTATCTGCTGAAGGCTCAGGAGAGGGAGGAGGAGAGAGAGAATTCCTTTCTGACCCTGGGACACCATCAACGCGTGCTCAGGATCCTGGAATTTCATTACCCATGTTATTATCTTAGCTTGCATAGCTGCAGCCGTGGCTCATAGTTATAAAAGTATCCGGTCCTTTAACATCCGGCCACAGCCTTCAGCTTGTTGGCCTCCTGATTAATTGGGAAGGGTGGGAGCTGGGGAAATCCTTTACCCTCACTTCAAACCTGCCAACTTGGCTTTGAACCTACAGGAACATTCTGGCCAGAGAGTATCATCCCCACACCCTCGACACCCTCATTTCCACCCCCATGTTGCATGTTCTTTTTGGTACCCGTATTCTTTCATGCTTGCTAAATTAACATTGGCCCTCTATCTACCATGTGCTGACCCCCAAGGGGCGAGGGGGTTTCCGTGTGATTTACGCCCCCTTTCTTGAACTTCTGGCCTGAAATGAATGGCTCCGAAAATTGACCTTTGCTGTACGATTTGGGAAGGGTTGCCTTCATTGTTCCTACGAAGGCGTGATTGTGTATCTTTCTTAGACCAATGAAAGAGAAAAAATGGAACCTTTGAAGTAAGACCCTGACATATAAAAGGTGCTTATTTTCAAAGCAAACTTGAAAGAGACTTAGAACACCATTTGTGAGATCCTGAGCGCGTTGATTATATTAGGGTTTCTTAGGAAAGGAGATGTTTACTTTCCCATGGCAAGGGTTTCAAGGTATTTTTCCGCCAGTTGGCCACAAACAAACCTAAAGGAATTGTCATTACATTGTGTCACTTATGCTCTGTGCATCTTTCCTCCTTTTCTTCACCAGGAGACCCTCACTGGTCCCTCCCTATGGCCACTTTCTGCACCCGTAGTCTTCAGAGAACTAAACCTTGCTGTTAGAAGCATTTGTTGTTTTTCTTTTTTAGAAGCTTGCGTGTAGGAATAAAATAATTAAGATGAAACTCTTCCAGGCCTTCAAATGGTCTGTTCTGGTTCCAACCCCTGCTGAGAATTTGCATTTCCACCCTGAGATGTACTGAATCAGAATCTACATTTTAACAAGATCCCCAGGGATTCTTATGTATAATAAGTTGCGAGAACTGCTGCTCTACTAGTGGTTCTCAGAATTGGTCCCCAACCAGCAGCATTAGCATCGCCTGGGAACTTGCTAGAAATGCAGATTCTTAACAGGGATTCCAACTGAAATGAACTGGTTCGAAGCCCTGAACTCTTCAGAACAATGTCTCTGCTATCAGCTCATTCTCCAGCATGCTTTGATATCTAATATACCTCTCGAAGCAATACAATATTTGGGGAGACAGCATGGTGTAGTGGAATGGAACATGAGAAGAAAGTAAGCAGGTCTGGTTCGAATTCCAACTTTGCCTCTTACCTCAGTGAAACCATGAACAAAGTCCTGGACCTCTCTGAGCATCTGAGCCTGAACTGTCACAGCATTGATTCGTTTCGGCCATTTTTGAATTTTATCTAAATGCAATGGTACAGTACATATTCCCTTTTTACTGGCTTCTTTTGCTTGATATTATGTTTGTGAGATTCATTCAGGTTGTTTCACATGGCAGTGATTTGTTCAATGGAATTTATGGTATTTTATTCTATATCACAAATTACTTGTCCATTCTACTATGATGGACATTTAGGTTGTTTTGGTTATTATGAAGAGTGATACAATGATCATTCTTGCACAGTCTTGTATACACAGTGTTGGGGAATATCACAGATTATGTGCCCCAGGAAGTAGCACTGAGAGAGATTTGCTTGCAGGAAGCTTATTCCTTCCTGTCTTCAAGGTCAAAGTCACATTCTAGACCAACACCTCAGGGAGGGGAGGAAAGGGGATTGGACAGAGAGAGGAGTTGGGCTGCAATGCAATCACGATGAAGACCTCAGCCAACCTAGAGGGAGCTCTTTGGCTAAGATGACCCTACAAAGTTGTGCCAAATCGGGGCAAGGAAGCTGGACCTTTGTTCATCCCTCATTGACCTGACTTGGATGAGTATTGAGCCAGGGAAAAGGGCATGATTTTGGGTGATCTTCCTTTGGTAGAGAGTAATTGCAAGGAGGGGAAGCCGTCAGCCATCTGGAAGAATGAGTGTTCTAGAACACACTAAAATGTGTGTGTTCTGTGGGAAACGTGGTGAATCTGAGCAGTGCACCACAGTGCCCACTACAGATCATTGTAATTTCTTGGCATTGAATTGCTCTTTCATAAGATATGTGTGGGAGCCCTGGTGGCGCAGTGGTTAAGAGCTATGGCAAGCTATGGCTGCTAACCAGAAGGTCAGCAGTTTGAATCCACCAGCCGCTCTTTAGAAATCTCATGGGGCAGTTCTCCTCTGTCCTATAGGGTTGCTATGAGTCAAAATAAACTCAACGGCGATCAGTTTCAATGGGTTTAAGATATGCGTGCAGAAGCCCTGATGGCACAGTGGTTAAGCGCTGGCCTGCTGACCGAAAGGTTAGCGATTTGAACCCACCAGCTCCTCCGCAGGAGAAAGATGTGGCAGTCTGCTTCCGTAAAGATTTACAGCCTTGGAAACCCTGTGGGGCAGTTCCACTCTGTCGCATAGGGCCGCTATGAGTCAGAATCCACTCGACGGTAGTGAGTTTGGTTTTTTGGTTTGAAGATATGTGTAGGAGTCCCTAAGTGGTACAAACAGTTAATGCACCTGGCTGCTCACCGAAAGGTTGGAGGTTTGAGTCCACCCAGAACCACCTTGGAAGAAAGGCCTGGTGATCTACTTCTGAAAAATCAGTCACTGAGAACCCTACGAAGCACAGTTCTACTCTGACACACATGGGATCTCCATGAGTGGGGTTGACTCCATGGCGAATGATGGTGGTGGTAAGATATGTATGTCTTTATCTTCAGTAGGTATGGAAACCCTGGTGGCCTAGTGGTTAAGTGCCGTCAGACAATATTCCAAAGTAATTGTACCTATATGCCATCTTAATTTAGACTCCAAGATCTTACCCCCAACAATAAAGAAAAATTTACAGGAGGGAAACATAAATGTGAGAATATTATATACATTGACTTAATATTTTCTGTGTTATGGGGAAAGGAAAATTGTGAACCATTGGGATGGGCTGTTCAACATTCTTTACCTTAGGGCTTGACATCCTAAAAATTGTTGACACTGTTCAGGATGTCCTGAAATCTGATTATGGAATGAATAGATTCTAAACATCTCCTTCTGTGCTGAGGACAGAAAACAAAGGAAGAATACGAATTGACGGTTGCCTCAAATTTTATTTTTCAGGGTGGCCAAATCAATGAAGGTCCCTGTATATGAGACCCCAGCTGGATGGAGATTCTTCTCAAATCTGATGGACTCAGGACGGTGCTCTCTGTGTGGAGAAGAGAGCTTTGGCACTGGTAGGCTTTCTGGGGTTGATGTTACTATAGAGGATGGTGGGGCTAGTCCTCTGTGGCTCTCTGTGACCCCGGTTTGGAGATCTGTGGACCTTCTGTGAATCAAATGCTGGGAGAAGCATTAGTTAGAGGCAGAAAATCAGAGAACCTATTGGGATGTGTGCTATGATTCACTTACCTCTTTTTCCCATTTCTTTTTTATTTCTCTTGAAACTTTTTTTTATTCTGGAAGTTTTCAAAATTTTATGAGAGAAGATCATATTGAATCCTCATGTACTCATCAACCAGTTTCAGCCATTGTCAACTCATGGTCTATCTTGTTTTATCTCCACTGTAACCCACCAGGAAGTCCTCTTCCTTGTTTATCTTGAAGCAATTTCCTACAGTTTATCATTTTAACCATAAATATTTCAGTGTGAATCTTTAAAACATGAGGGGTCTTTAATCTAAGATACTCCACTGGTCTCACCCCATCTGGAGCAAGGGAGAATGAAGGAAACCTAAGACACAAGGGAAAGATTAGTCCAAAGGACTAATGGACCACAGCTACCACAGCCTCCACCAGACTGAATCCAGCACAACTAGATGGTGCCCGGCTACCACCACGGACTGCTCTGACAGGGATCTCAATACAGGGTCCCAGATGGAGCTGGAGAAAATATAGAACAAAATTCTAACTCACGAAAAAAGACCAGACTTACTGGCCTGACAGAGACTAGAGAAACCCTGAGAGTATGGTCTCCGGACGCCCTTTTAGCTCAGTAATGAAGTCACTCCTGAGGTTCACCCTTCAGCCAAAGATTAGACAGCCCCATGAAACAAAACAATACTAAAGGTGCACACCAGCCCAGGGGCAAGGACTAGAAGGCAGGAGGGGACAGGGAAACTGGTAATAGGGAACCCAAGATCAAGAAAGGGAGAGTACTGACATGTCATGGGGTTGTTAACCCATGTCATAAAACAATATGTGTATTAATTGTTTAATGAGAAGCTAGTTTATTCTGTAAACCTTCATCTAAAGTACAGTAATAAAAATAAGTAAAAAATGAAAAAAAAGATGAGGGGCCTTTAGGAAAAAATATAACCACAGTGCTATTATCACATGTAAAATATTAAAAGTAATTTCTTCTTTCACAGTACTTCAGAAACGTCATTCCATTACCTGCTGGCCTGCATCGTTTCTGAAAAGTCTGCTGCAATTCTTATCTTTGTTCCTTTGTGTTTAATTTCCCCCCTCTGGATGGCTTTTTAAGATTTTTTTTTTAATTTCTGGTTTTTAGCAGTTTGATTTTAATGTGTCTAGGCATGTGTGTTTTTTAAACCTGGTTGAGATTCTCTGAGCTTCTTGGATGCGTTGTTTGTTGTTTTTCATTAATTTTAGAAAATTCTCAGCCGTATATTTTCAAATATTTCTGTTTCCCCATTCTCTCTCTCTCTGTGTCAGGGACTCCAGTGACTCAGGTGTTAGACAATTTGTGATCATAGTTGTTGTCCCATAGTCCTTACGTGCTCTGTTACATTTTCCTTCACTATCTTTTCTTTTTGTGTTTCAGTTTAGATAACTTCTATTGATATACCTTTAAGTTCACTGCTTTTTCCTTAGCTGTGTGTAATCTGCTGATAAGCCTGTTGAAAGAGTTCTTTATCTCTGATTTTGCATTTTTTATTCATAACATTTTCCTTTGACTCTTTTTAATAGTTTCCATCTCTCTGATGAAATTCCTCATCTGTTTATATATGTTGTCTGTCTTTTCCATTATATCATCTATATATTAAACATAGTTATTTTAAACTACCTCTCTGATAGTTCCAATATCGATTCATCTCTGACTCTGTTGATTGCTTTATCTTTTGACAATGGATTGTTTTTCTTGTTTTGTGGGTCTCATAATTTTTTTCATTGCATTCAGGACCATGTGTGTATAAGCACAGGAAAGACTGACGTAAATAGTATTTACGCCCAATAATGGGCACGCATCTTCTTCTGTCAGGTCATTAGTGTGGGAAGTTAGGTTAATCTAGTCAGAAGTTGAGCTGGGTTTGGGTTTTAATGTTTCTGTTATAACCTTTAGTGTACCACAGGCTTCAAATTCCTCCGACAGTGGGTTACTTGTTACTATGGGTTTAAAGTGGGGACGGGGTGCTGGAGGTTTTTTTTTCAGTGTTCCTGTTCTATCGATGGAAACCTTGGTGGCGTAGTGGTTAAGAGTTTGGCTGCTAACCAAAAGGTCAGCAGTTTGAATCTATCAGACACTCCTTAGAAACCCTGTGGGGGCAGTTCTACTCTGTCCTATAGGGTTGCTGTGAGTCAGAATCCACTCAATGGCAGTGGGTTGGTTTGGGGTTCTATCAATAGCTTTCAGCAGTTCCTGCGTGTCTGTGACACAGAGTACTGTCTCTCCAGGTTGTTGACCCTGCTCAGTGGCAGCAGACCTCTGCTTAGTAGTAGTATAGGATTCCATCTTTCCCTCAGGGGCAGAGAGTTTTTATGTCTACTCCTCCATCAGCAACAATGGATCTTCCCTGAGCCCTTGAGATGTGGGGTTTTCAGCCGTCACATCTAGGAGCGTAAGGCTTTTGTTTCCTATGAGAGACGGGTTTGGGGACATGGGAGGGGCTTCATGCTTGTCCCCCAGAAGCAGCTGATTATCTCCTGAATGTCCCCACCACCGCATCTCCCTTCCTGTCCCCAGTCTTCTTCTGAGCACCGAGTGGAAGCCAATGGAAAAGAAGTTCTGAGTATGTCCCCTTGTATCTGGGACTACAAGTGATTTTAAACTAATGTGATAGACTACACTTGGCCTTTAAGAGTTTTTTAAACTGTTATGTAATTTTTTTTTTTTAAATCCATTGGTATGGCAGCCACCTCTTTGTCCTGCGCTGTGCCAAAGGTGAGACAATTCTTCTGTCCTGTCTCTCTGCAAGGGCTTGTCACTCTGTGGAATTTACTTGACTTTATTGCCTTGTGTCCTCATCTCTCTGATGAGTTCAAGAAGTTATGATTCTGGAGATTTTCTGGCTTTTCTCATTTTTAGGATGGAGTGACATTCTCTTGTAGGTTTCTACATCTTAAACAGAAGCAGAACTCCAAAAGTAATTTCTTGGTTTTTTTTCTCCTGCGCCTAAGTCCTGACCTTGCTCTCCCACCCACCTTGACCTTGGGGAGGGCAAAAGGGAGGAAACTTGTGCTTATTTATTTATTTATTTGAAGAGTAAATTCTATTTTCTTTTGAAACTGCATTATGGAGGAGGTATGGGGATGTGAGGCACGCAAGTGTCTCAGGAATTCAAGGGTGGGGGGAGGAGGAAAATCTACTTCCTTTTCAGAAAAAAAAAATTAAGTGTTTCTTAAAGTTTTTAATGAAATATCTAACATTTTTATAGCTTTTTACTATGAAGGGAACTTAAAATATATACAAAAATTGATAGAATAGCATAGTACAACTACCAAGTACCAATTGCTCAGGTTAAATAGTCACTAATTCATGCCCAGTTCAGTTTTATCTGTTATATATATTCCCACCCCTTTCCCTTGCTCATCAGCTATTTTAAAAAAATTTTTACATTGTGCTTTAGGTGAAAGTTTACAGCTCAAATTAATTTCTCATTAAGAAATGTATAGACATAGTGTTTTGTGACATTGGTTGCCATCCCCACAATGTGACAGCACACTCCCCCTTTCCACCCCGGGTTTCCTGTGTCCATTTGTCCAGTTCCTGTCCCTGTCAGACCATTGAGTCTGGTCTTTTTACGTGAATTTGAGTTCTAGTCTACAATTTTTACCTGCCCTGTCCGTGACTCTCTTTTGTGGTCTCTGTCAGGGTGGTCATTGGTGGTAGCCAGGCACCATCTAGTTCTTCCGGTCTCAGGCTGGTAGACTCTCTAGTTCATTTGGTCCTTTAGTCCTTTGAGCTAGTATTTTCCTTGTGTCTTTGGTTTTCTTCATTTTCCTTTAATCCGAGTGGGATGGAACCAATCTATGTATCTCAGATGCAAAAGTAATTTCTTTTTTCAATTTTATTTCTATTTATTGTGCTTTAGGTGAAAGTTTATAGCTCAAGTTAATTTCTCATACAAAAATTTATACACACATTGTTATGTGACTCTTGTTGCTATCCCTATAATGTGACAGCACACTCCTCCTTTCTACCCCAGATTTCCCATGTCCATTCAACCAGCTCCTATCTCTTTCTACCTTCTCATCTTACCTCCAGACAGGAGCTGCTCATTTAGTCTCGTGTATCTGCTTGAACTAAGAAGCACACTTTTCACAAGTATCATTTTATGTTTTACAGTCCAATCTATGTCTGAAGAGTTGGCTTCAGGAATGGTTTTAGTTCGGGGTTAACAGAGAGTCTCGGGGCCAAGTCTTCTGGGGTTCCTCTAGTCTCAGTCAGACCACTAAGTCTGGTCTTTTTACTAGGATTTGAGTTCTTCACTCCACTTTTCTCCTGCTCTGTCAGGGACTCTTTGTTGTGTTCCCTGTCAGGGTGGTCATTGGTATAGCCAAGCACCATCTAGTTCTTCTGGTCTCAGGCTGATGGAGTCTCTGGTTTATGTGGCCCTGCAAAAGTAATTTCTTAGTATCGTCTAATATCTTGTTGTGGTTAGGTGCCATAGAGTCAGTTCCAACTCACAGTGACCCCATGTACAACAGAACAAAACATTACTGGGTCCTGAGCCATCCTCACAATCGTTGTTATGCTTGAGCCTATTGTTGCAGCCACTGTGTCATCCATCTTGTTGAGGGTCTTCCTCTTTTTCACTGACCCTCTACTTTACCAAGCATGATGTCCATCTAATATCTAGTCAATGTTAATATTTCTCTTATTCTACTCAATGGCAACCGGTTTGGTTTCGGTTTTGCCTTCCTCCACCCAGGCCAGCCCAGCTCAGCCAGGAGCACCTGAGAAGCAGCCAGGTCCACCTAGAAGGAGGGTACTTGGCTCTTCCCTGCCCACGACCCCAACAAAATTGCTACCAAAATGGGGGACTATTTTTTT